AAATCGGGGGGCTGGGAAGGTGGATCAGTGGTAGAGTGCTTGCCTTTCATGCATGAGGCCCTGGGTTCGAGTCCTCAGCATCACATAAGCAGAAAAAGCTGGAAGTGGCACTGTGGCTCAAGTGGTAGAGCACTAGTTGAGCTGAAAAGCTGAGGGACAGCACCCAGGCCCAGTGTTCAGGCCCCATAACTGGAAAAGAGGGGAGGGGAGGGGAGGGGAGGGGAGGGGAGGGGAGGGGAGGGGAGGGGAGGGGAGGGGAGGGAAGGGAGGAAAAAGGAAAGAAAATCAGTGACAGGAGAAAGATACCTATAAATAAAACATTTTTATTGATCTCTTGTAAAAGACAACCATTAGCTATAAGAACTATTCCCCACCCATTTCCAAAGAATACAAGGTGTCTCAGTTTAAGGTACAATAAAATAATTGAGAGTAAAGGTGAACAGAGTAATTGAAGAAAGTTAGGTGGGTAGGAGTAATTGAAAGTTAGGTAGGTACTGCTAGCTACTGTAAAAGTTCAGGACACAAGAATTCAATAGAACAAGCAATAATCCCGCTTGTAAGTTTTCTGGGAATTAAAGAAGAGAATGATATTGCATTATGCTATAGTTTTCCTCTTCTGATGTCACAAGTTTAGATCTAAATACATCCCACTTTTTTCTTCTTCTTCCCAGGCTAGCTTTGAATCACAATCTTCAGGTCTCAGCCTCCCGAGTATCTAGGATCACAGGTGCGAGCTACTAGTGCCCAACCAATGTCTGCATTTTTAGTAATACTTAGTAATTAAGATATAATTGAAGCCAGGCAACGGTGGCTCACAACTATAATTCTGTGCTGAGATCTGAGGATCACAGCTCAAAGCTAGCCCAAACAGTAAAGTCCATGAGACTTGTATCTCCAATTAACCACTCAAAAACCAGAAGTGGTGCTATGGCTCAAAGTGGTAAAGCTCTAGCCTTGAGCAAAAAGAACTCACAGACAGCGCCCAGGCCCTGAGTTGAAAGCCCAAAACCTAAATAAATAAATGATATAATTGACTATCCAAGCCACTTATTTAAGTGTAAAATTCAATATTCTTTTTAAGTACTTCACAATATTTATTTCAAGATTAAATGCTGTGACCATTATCTCATAAAAGGCTCAGGAAAGTCTAGAGGTTCATTAGGCTTAATAACAAAACTAAAAATAGTAGTAAGTTTTCCATACCTGTTTCTTTACAGTATTGAGATTTATATGTATAAATACATATTTATAAGCTATATAATGTATCTTAATGCATACTTATATTTGACATATTTTCTCTCTTTTTTTGGTCGGTTGTGGGGCTTGAACTCTGGGCCTGGGCACTGTCCCTCAGCTCTTCAGCTCAAGGCAAGCGCTCTACCACTTGAGCCAGAGCACCACTTCCGGTTTTCTGGTAATTAATTGGAGGTAAAAGTCTCATGGACTTTCCTGCCTGGGCTGGCTATGAACTGTGATCCTCAGATCTCAGCCTCTTGAGTAGCTGGGATTACAGGCATGAGCTGCCAGTGCCCAGCTTTCTCATTTTTATACAAGGAGAAGAACATTAATCTGAAACAGAAATATACTAGAACAAGAGCATACAGGCCACAGGATGCATATATCCCAACTTTACACCTAATTTTATAGTATCCACAACAACTGAAAGCACCTATTTGCTGCTCATTTTCATCAACATTGGGGCACGCTGTATTAACTTACTGAACTGTCACAGTCCTGTCTTCCTTGGTAACAGCCACAGTGTCAGCATACACCAGAAACCCAGCAGCTCACATCTCACATGCCAGTTCTCAAACTGTGGAATCACTCTGAAATCTGCAGGCTAAAGTGGCGCTCAATTTAAAATAAATTAACTTGGTATCCTCAATCCTGTTACAAGTATTCACAAAATTTTAGGAAGTAGTAAGTCAATGATTAAAACTTAGAGAAGAGGCAAATCCTTTCTGTACATGATACCACAATACATTATTTTTATCTTGTTCTTAAACAGTATGTATTACATTTAGGCTACTGATAAATTCTCTTAAAGCTTCCCAGAAGAATGAGAGGAAAGTTGTCCACAAAATACATTTGCACACAATAATATGGAAGAACTTATCCAAAGAAACTAAATTTGCTTTAATTCTTAATTATCCAAATATCTGAGTACTAAAAGAATAATTGGGGGCTGGGAAGGTGGCTCAGTGGTAGAGGGCTTGCCTTGCATGCTTGAGGCCCTGGGTTCGATTCCTCAGCACCACATAAACAGAAAGAAAAAAGCCAGAAGTGGCGCTGTGGCTCAAGTGGTAGAGTGCTAGTCTTGAGCTGAAGAGCTGAGGGACAGCACCCAGGCCCAGAGTTCAGGCCCCACAACCGGACCCAAAAAAAAAAAAAGAAAAAAGAATAATTGTCAAAACAGTAAGGTAAGCTGGTTACCAATTGATCATATCTATAACCCTAAATATTCGGGAAGCTGAGGTCTGAAGATTGTGATTTAAAACCAACCTAGGCAGACAAATAAATACAAGAGATGCTTATCTCCCATTAACGAGCAAAATGCTGAAGCTAAAGGCTCAGATGTAGAGCACTAGCTGTGAGTGTGATACAGCCAAGTTCAGGCTCTAAGTTCAAGACCCAATACCAGCAAACATGAGGGAAAAAAAAAACACCAGTTAAATAATACTATACATGACAAGTTTGGTTTCTATATTTTGAAACCTTAACATCAACATTTAATGACAACAGTAAAAATAAGAGTCACACATCTTAGCTATATTAAGTTCTAATTTTTCAAATATGCAAAAATGGAATATTATCTTCATTCATCTCTGTAAACATTTTTCAAGGTAGGTAGCAGTAACTCACTTCTACAATCTGAGATACTTGAGAGAGCCAGCCAGGGCAGAAAAGTTTGAGAGACTCTACCTCCAATTAGCAAAACTGAGGTGTGCCTCAAGTGGCAAAGCATCAGCCACGAGCTAAAAGCAGAGTTCAAGTACCAGGGCACACGGATGGACGGACAGGGACAGGGATGGACACAGACACGGACACACGGACAGACAGACACAGACACAGACACACACACACGAATATTCTTCAGAGTATAATTTTCTACAGCCCCCATTGACACAGAGGAGTCACTTCTATAATAAAGGCTTAAAGAGCCAGAAGAATTACTCAAGCAGTGGAACACATGCTTTGCGAGCACAAAGCCCTGAGTTCAAACTCCAATGACAGCGAAACAACCACAAGACTATCCTCTACGCGTCAAGCCGCCCAGGTCTTTCCCTGGGTAGAAGAAAGGAAGTGAAAGACGAGTTAAGCGGCGAGGGCAAGCGCGCCTCTCCCGCAGGAACGAGGCGCCTTCCAGGCCAGCGTCCACGGTTTCCCGGCCAGTCCAAGAAAAGCCACCAGCACACGCACGCAAAGGCAGGCTGGGCTGCCCAGGGCGCCTCTCCACTACTCGTGTGTGTTGTCGGTCGTGGGCTCGAACTCTGGGCCTGGGCGCTGCTCCTCCGCTCGTCAGCGCTGAGCCACCTTCCCAGCCGGGCTGCGGTGCGGTGCGCAGGCCCCCGGGCGGCTGGCACCGGGCTCCCTCCCGCCTCCCGCCTTCCGCCGGGGCCGGGGCCGGGGCTCCCTCTCGCCTCCCCGCCGGGGCCGGGGCCGGGGCTCCCTCCCGCCTCCCGCCTCCCCGCCGGGGCCGGGGCCGGGCCCGGGGCTCCCTCCCGCCTTCCGCCGGGGCCGGGGCTCCCTCCCGCCTCCTGCCTTCCGCCTCCCCGCCGGGGCCGGGGCCGGGGCTCCCTCCCGCCTCCCCGCCGGGGCCCGGGCCGGGGCTCCCTCCCGCCTCTCGCCTCCCCGCCTGGGCCGGGGCTCCCTCCCGCCTCCCCGCCGACTCGCCGGGGCGAGTTGGGAAGCCGGGGCGCTCCGGCGCTGGTGCGGAAACGGCTGCAGAACCGGGCCAGGGAGAGCGACCAGCCGGCCCCGCCCGGGGCGGGTGAGGCGCGGGAGGGAGGGGGGCGACGCGGGGAGAGCGCGGCGCTGACCGGACCCGACGCCCGCACCCCGCCCCACCCCGGGCCGGGGCCGGCAGGGGAGCCGGGCCGCAGGGAGGGGACTGACCCGGAGGAGCCCGACCTGCCGGCCACAGGTCTCGGGGCCGGGTCCCGGGGTCGGGTCCCCGGCGGGGTCTCGGGCGGGGTCTCGGGGTCGGGTCCCCGGCGGGGTCTCGGGCAGGGTCTCGGGGCCGGGTCCCCGGCGGGGTCTCGGGGTCGGGTCCCCGGCGGGGTCTCGGGGTCGGGTCCCCGGCGGGGTCTCGGGGTCGGGTCCCCGGCGGGGTCCCCGGCGGGGTCTCGGGGTCGGGTCCCCGGCGGGGTCCCCGGCGGGGTCTCGGGGTCGGGTCCCCGGCGGGGTCCCCGGCGGGGTCGCGGGCGGGGTCTCGGGGCCGGGTCCCCGGCGGGGTCTCGGGCGGGGTCTCGGGGCCGGGTCCCCGGCGGGGTCTCGGGGTCGGGTCCCCGGCGGGGTCTCGGGGTCGGGTCCCCGGCGGGGTCTCGGGGTCGGGTCCCCGGCGGGGTCCCCGGCGGGGTCTCGGGCGGGGTCTCGGGGTCGGGTCCCCGGCGGGGTCTCGGGCGGGGTCTCGGGGCCGGGTCCCCGGCGGGGTCTCGGGCAGGGTCTCGGGGCCGGGTCCCCGGCGGGGTCTCGGGCGGGGTCTCGGGGCCGGGTCCCCGGCGGGGTCTCGGGCGGGGTCTCGGGGTCGGGTCCCCGGCGGGGTCCCCGGCGGGGTCTCGGGGTCGGGTCCCCGGCGGGGTCCCCGGCGGGGTCTCGGGCGGGGTCTCGGGGTCGGGTCCCCGGCGGGGTCTCGGGCGGGGTCTCGGGGCCGGGTCCCCGGCGGGGTCTCGGGCGGGGTCTCGGGGCCGGGTCCCCGGCGGGGTCTCGGGCGGGGTCTCGGGGCCGGGTCCCCGGCGGGGTCGCGGGCCCGGGTCTCAGCCCCCGCCCCACGCACTCACCCAGGCCGGCAGGTCGCAGGCGCGCACGCCCAGGCGCACCGTGCGCTCCTCGTCCTCCAGCAGCGCCAGCGCGCGGCACAGGCGGCTGGCCTTCAGGCCGCGGCTCCGGCGGCACCAGGCGAGCAGCCCCAGCGCCAGCAGCACCCAGCTGAAGCTCAGCCCCAGGTAGCCGAGCGCGTACACCGGCAGCAGCAGCGCGAAGCTGCGCGCCAGCTGCGCCAGCAGGCCCGGCACGTCCACGCTGAGGGCGCCGCCGGGGGGCTCGGGCGCCGGGCGGCCCCCGGCCCCGCCGGCCTCCGAGCCCGCGTCCCCAGCGCCGCTCATGGCCAGCCGCGCGGCACTGCCCTCGGGCCCGGGCGGGCGCTGCGTTCCCGCGGACGGCAGCCGGCTGGGACTGGCGCGCCAGCGCCCCTGAGGGGAACGGCTGGCGCCGCCCCTGCGCGCCCGCCGGCCGCCCGTGACGTCATCGCGGCGCGCGGCCCCGCCCGCGGACGGGCGAGGCGCTGCGTCCTCACGCCCGCGCGACCCCGCCCATCTGCAGCGCGACGCCGGCGCCCCCGCACGCACGCCCAGCGCCGCCGTGGGTGGGCGAGTCGTGACGCCATCGCGCCGAGCCTCGCCCCGCCTCCCGCGGGCGGCGTCGCACGCCTCGCGCAGCCTCGCGCAGCCTCGCTCGCCCCGGCCGGGCCCCGCCCCGCCCCGCCCCAGGCCCGCCCCGGGCCCTCCGCCGGGGGAGGGGTCGCGCGCGCGGGCTCGCTGCCGAGACGCCTCCCGCGGGTCCCGGTCTATTTCCGTGCGGCGCGGCCTGCCGTGGGCGGGCGGCGGGGCGCCTGCCTGCACGCCGCGCGCGTGTGTGCGCGTGCGCCCGGCCAGGGCCTTCCCTTTCCCTGCCCGCGCGCCCCGCCTCCGCGGGCGAGCGCCCGACTCCTGCCGGCTTCGGCCGCGAGCGGCGGCCTCCGCGCGTGGACCACGGCCGGGTCCCTCCGGCACCGCGGGGAGAGCGGGGAGCGGCCCGGCCTCTGCCCGCCAGTCACCGGACCCCGGCCCGGAGGCCGCTCCTCACCTCGGAGGTCACGTCGGAGGCCACTTCCTCACCTCGGAGGTCACCTCGGAGGTCACTCCTCACCTCGGAGGTCACTTCCTCACCTCGGAGGTCACCTCGGAGGTCACTTCCTCACCTCGGAGGTCACTCCTCACCTCGGAGGTCACCTCGGAGGTCACTCCTCACCTCGGAGGTCACTCCTCACCTCGGAGGTCACTTCCTCACCTCGGAGGTCACTCCTCACCTCGGAGGTCACTCCTCACCTCGGAGGTCACTCCTCACCTCGGAGGTCACCTCCTCACCTCGGAGGTCACTCCTCACCTCGGAGGTCGCTTCCTCACCTCGGAGGTCACTCCTCACCTCGGAGGTCGCTTCCTCACCTCGGAGGCCACTTCCTCACCTCGGAGGTCACCTCCTCACCTCGGAGGTCACTCCTCACCTCGGAGGTCACTCCTCACCTCGGAGGTCACTCCTCACCTCGGAGGTCGCTTCCTCACCTCGGAGGTCACTCCTCACCTCGGAGGTCACTCCTCACCTCGGAGGTCGCTTCCTCACCTCGGAGGTCACTCCTCACCTCGGAGGTCACTCCTCACCTCGGAGGTCACTTCCTCACCTCGGAGGTCACTTCCTCACCTCGGAGGTCACTCCTCACCTCGGAGGTCACTTCCTCACCTCGGAGGTCACCTCGGAGGTCACTCCTCACCTCGGAGGTCACTCCTCACCTCGGAGGTCGCTTCCTCACCTCGGAGGTCACTCCTCACCTCGGAGGTCACTCCTCACCTCGGAGGTCACTTCCTCACCTCGGAGGTCACTTCCTCACCTCGGAGGTCACTCCTCACCTCGGAGGCCACTTCCTCACCTCGGAGGTCGCTTCCTCACCTCGGAGGTCACTCCTCACCTCGGAGGTCACTCCTCACCTCGGAGGTCGCTTCCTCACCTCGGAGATCACTCCTCACCTCGGAGGTCACTCCTCACCTCGGAGGTCGCTTCCTCACCTCGGAGGTCACTCCTCACCTCGGAGGTCACTCCTCACCTCGGAGGTCACTTCCTCACCTCGGAGGTCACTCCTCACCTCGGAGGTCACTTCCTCACCTCGGAGGTCACTCCTCACCTCGGAGGTCACCTCGGAGGTCACTTCCTCACCTCGGAGGTCACTCCTCACCTCGGAGGTCACCTCGGAGGTCACTTCCTCACCTCGGAGGTCACCTCGGAGGTCACTCCTCACCTCGGAGGTCACTTCCTCACCTCGGAGGTCACCTCCTCACCTCGGAGGTCACTTCCTCACCTCGGAGGTCACTTCCTCACCTCGGAGGTCACCTCGGAGATCACTTCCTCACCTCGGAGGTCACTTCCTCACCTCGGAGGTCACTTCCTCACCTCGGAGGTCACTTCCTCACCTCGGAGGTCACCTCGGAGATCACTTCCTCACCTCGGAGGTCACTTCCTCACCTCGGAGGTCGCTTCCTCACCTCGGAGGTCACTCCTCACCTCGGAGGTCACTTCCTCACCTCGGAGGTCACTCCTCACCTCGGAGGTCACCTCGGAGGTCACTTCCTCACCTCGGAGGTCACTCCTCACCTCGGAGGTCACCTCGGAGGTCACTTCCTCACCTCGGAGGTCACCTCGGAGGTCACTCCTCACCTCGGAGGTCACTTCCTCACCTCGGAGGTCACCTCCTCACCTCGGAGGTCACTTCCTCACCTCGGAGGTCACTTCCTCACCTCGGAGGTCACCTCGGAGGCCACTTCCTCACCTCGGAGGTCACCTCGGAGGTCACTCCTCACCTCGGAGGTCACTTCCTCACCTCGGAGGTCACCTCGGAGGTCACTCCTCACCTCGGAGGTCACTCCTCACCTCGGAGGTCACTCCTCACCTCGGAGGTCACCTCCTCACCTCGGAGGTCACTTCCTCACCTCGGAGGTCACTCCCTCACCTCGGAGGTCACTTCCTCACCTCGGAGGTCACCTCGGAGGTCACTTCCTCACCTCGGAGGTCACTCCTCACCTCGGAGGTCACCTCGGAGGTCACTTCCTCACCTCGGAGGTCACTCCTCACCTCGGAGGTCACCTCGGAGGCCACTTCCTCACCTCGGAGGTCACTTCCTCACCTCGGAGGTCACCTCGGAGGTCACTCCCTCACCTCGGAGGTCGCTTCCTCACCTCGGAGGTCGCTTCCTCATCTACTGAGATCACACCACCCTCCACAGTGCGAGGCTTCCCCGGTCTGAGGTCACTTCCTCATCCTCCACAGTGCGAGGCTTTCCCGGTCTGAGGTCACTTCCTCATCCTCCACAGTGGGAGGCTTCCCCGGTCTGAGGTCACTTCCTCATCCTCCACAGTGAGAGGCTTCCCCGGTCTGAGGTCACTTCCTCTTCCTCTGAGGTCACTTCCTCATCCTCCACAGTGAGAGGCTTCCCCGGCTCTGAGGTCACTTCCTCTTCCTCTGAGGTCACTTCCTCATCCTACCAACCACAAGTTTTTTCACTGCTGAGGCTCATAGTATCCCACCGTGAAGGCCGCACTAGCTTCAGAAGCTGTGAGATCTTAAGAGTATGGAGGCTAGAAGGCCGTTCTCCCAACATAACCTGTTTCCTGGAGATGTCCGTCAGTCCTGGCTTACCTGGAATTCATATTTCTATTCCAGGTATGGGCTAATTCACCCCTAAACTGCTTGGAGTCTGAGGGGTAGACTAAGGTTTATACAAATTGTAAGTTGTTTATTACAAGTATACAAAATATTGTCACATGTTATACCTTACTTGCTGCCAGTACTTCCCTGTATGAAATGCAATGAAGACCTTGGTTAATGGAACCTTGGGATCTGAACCTGGCAGAAGTCTTCAGTCCCCTAGGACTCCAAATCTCAATTCTAGGGTCCAGTCTCCATTATTGCCTTGCCCATTGTCAGGTTGTGATAGACATTGAGACAATATGAAAAATAGACAATAACCCAGTATTTTATATATGTACATTGATAACACGTATATATTTGGTAAAATACAATGTATTAAATTTGAATTCAGCTATTTTTAACTTTAAAAGTGCAGCTACTAGGAAATATGCCATCATGGGCTGAGAATGTGGCTTTCTAGCAGAGTGCTTGCCTAGCATGCATGAAGCCCTGGGTTTGATTGCTCAGTATCACATAAACAGAAAAATCCTCAAGTGGTGCTGTGACTCAACCAGTAGGTGCTAGCCTTGAGCAAAAAGAAACTCAAGAACAGTGCCCAGGCCCTGAGTTCAAGCCCTAGGACTCGCAAAACAAAATCAAGAAAATATGCAATCATATATGTGATTTACCCTGTATCACAACCAGAAAACATGGTTATAATTGTTCATTACTCACCTTGAACTTGTGCTCAAACTGTCTGCGCCTTTCAAAGTGCTCTTCCCTAGCCTATCTTCCTGGTTATTTATACTTACAGATTTAACCACGGTGAACCCTTTTTAATCTCATTGCTCCAGGCACACTTTGTCACTTCTTCTTCTTTTTTTTTTTGAGGGGGGGCGGTTATGGGGCTTGAACTCAGGGCCTGCACTCTTCAGCTTAATGGGAGCGCTCTACCGCTTGAGCCACAGCGCTACTTCCGGTTTTCAAGTGGTTTATTTGAGATAAGAGTCTCACAGACATTTCTGCCCAGGCTGGCTTTGAACGGCGATCCTCACATCTCAGCCTCCTGAGTAGCTAGGGTGACAGGCGTGAGCCACCAGTGCCCAGCAGACATTGTCACTTCTGCAACCAAGTCTTCTTATCTCCTGCATTTTCACATCTTTTAATAGCTGCTTGCATATTTTTTCTTCACTCTTAGGAGCCATTAGAGGTCCAGATAAGGCTTTATTTTGTTTAGCATTTTAACATTTGTTTCTATCAAGTTCAGAAAGTTACTGGTGAATAAAGATGATAAAAGAAATGTTATGACTTAGAACATAATTGATGGTCAAATCAGATATTCAGAAAATAATTTAAGTCCTGTTATGGCTAAAACTCCATTTACTCTGCGAATATGGTGGGGCTTAGTAGGGAGACCAGGAAGGACTAGGGTTTAAGCATTGTTAGAGAAGTTTTTCCTAAGGAGAAGGTTAATTTCAAATTTCATGTTAGATTTTTGTTGTAAGAACTTTTTTTTTCCTGGCAGTGGCAGCACAAGCTGTCACAGAAAGCTGGTTAGCTCCTAGATTGTCAGTGTCCCTGTTCACGAAGCTGGTGGACTGGGGCCGTGGTTCCCAGACTCTGGGACTGAGCAGTACTGCTGAAAGACTCTAGTCCCCTAGGATACTTTCGTCAACGGGAGGGCGCCCCAGAAAACTCAGACTCCAGGCCGGGAGATGCAATAAGCAAGAG